CCAAGCGGTGGCGCCGTCGCCGAAGCACGGCGGAGCCGCCGTACCGAAATTGCGATATTGGCCGAAAGGGGCCCTGGGTCTAATTTAGGATTTTTTGGGACACGTGCAGGTACCAGTAGTGCGTTTCAGTTCCCCGGAAAAAATTTAAGAAAAATTAAGGACAGCTTGTAGGTGCACTGTAGAGCCGTATTCGGACCCCGAAACAAGTAAGGACCCCTCACCCTATTTCCTATCACGGTATTAAAGTTCAATAAATAATAAAATGGTATTTCATGAATCAACATATGTGTAAAATTGTTTAAGGTCGCTAATGGAGCCCGAGTCTGGTGTGTTTGTCGGTTAGCTGTTGTTTGGCCTATTTTACGGTTTTAAAAGCAGTATGAGGTCTGATGTTTTCATTTCATAGTTTCGTGTGCATATATTACTGTTTTATTGATTATGGGTTGAATGACTGAGAACCCGATGTTGTATGTTGTCTTGTTTGGCATAAATTACTAGTTTGCTTGTTTGTGTGTGATTTGATAATGCTGACTGAGGAAAAAGGGAATGAAAGGTTATGTAAATTGATAATTGTATAATGTGGTCAGCCTGACTAGATGTCCTGGGAGATGGTGGACGGACCGAGTCCGTAGGGAACCCTACCAGGATTGTGGTCTCTCATACCGGACGGGGTATGGAGACCTTATGTGTTTTGGCGCCCATACCGGACGGGGTATGGGGACGGCCCGTTTCACCCTCATACCGGACGGGATATTGAGGTTTATAGTTTTGGTACCCATACCGGACGGGGTATGGGGACGGCCTTGGAATCTGATTACAAGTGTTAAGGGTTCACGGGTAGCGGGACCCCTATGGATCCCCATGGATACTAGTAGGCTGGTAAATGAGGAAAAATATGTTGTGTAATGATCGAATTGCAAAAGACGTGATAAGTATTATGTTATACAGTTCATATGATTTCATGATGATGATAATGTTATTGTCTTCGTATGTTGTTTTATGAATTTCACCGAGGTAAGTGGATAGTAAAGGATTTTATTATTGATAAAAGAATTTGTTGTAAATTATGCTCCATTAGTCTTTTCGTGTTTTCTACCCACCTTTACCTCCGTGACGGTGAGATAGTGTGATGTCTTTACTGGACTGGTGTAGCTAATTCCTTATTTAATCATTTCATATCAGGAAGACATTGTTCCCGAGCCCGTTCCGCAGGAAAACGGCGAAGAGGACGCCTGAAGACTTCGTAGTTATATTTATAGCTTTTATTTTCGAGTTTCTCTTTTAGTTAGTTTGTTCTTTTATATTTTGAGAATGTTTTTGGGTTTTAGTTAAGGGATGTTAATCAAAATTTTTATTACACTTCCGCATTTGACCTTTTTAATACACATATTTTATTTTAAAATTCCGGGGCCGTTACACAAGTTAAATGAGTTTTAATTAAATTTTTTTCAAGTTAAATAACTTAAATACAAATTAAATGAATTTTTGTTAAAAATTAAATTTGTATTCTTTACAACAAATTTATTTTATGATATTTTAAAAATTAAGTTAAATGAATTTTTGTTAAAAATCAAATTTTTATTCTTCATAATAAATTTATTTTTTGATATTTTAAGAAAAAAATTCATTAAAAATTACAGTTTAAATAATTTTACAAATTAAATGACTAATACGA